ATCGTTATTTAAAGGAACAATGTGAGAGCAGACAGGAATAAAGTGTACAGTTTTATAATGTTTTTGTCCTTTTTGTTAGGGTTAGCTGTGACCGCTGTATTAAACACACTCAGAGCACAAAGCTGACCTTTCTGTTGACCTTTGCCCTCTGCGGTCTGCCTGGCAAAGGTCAGGATCTCCTGGCAGAAGTGTCTCCTCTCTTCATCGCTCAGGTTGGTGTCGCTGGCGAGCAGAGCGCTCGTCTGCAGGTATCTACACACACGGTCAAAGAAACCACACGCACAAGACAGAAAACACGCGAAGCAGAGGAGCCCTGTATATTTTATATCCACTATATATACACAGTGGATATAAAAAGTCTACACACACACACACACACGCACGCACAGGCACACACAGACACATAGACACACAGAAACACACACACACACAGACACACACACACACACACACAGACACACACAGACACACACAGACACACATGATTAATCGAGTCTCCCTCTGGAGGATGTGTTACAGGTGTTTCTGCTCACATGTAGAACTCAGCCAGACTCTTCCCCACCAGCCGGGCCGAGCGCAGCCGCCCGATCACTCTGTACATCTCCATAGCGGCGTGAGACAGCTCCTGAGCAGAGACACACAAACCATGAGCAGAAATAAACCTCGTAATCACAGCACTAAAACAAACACTCCCAGATTACAGAGACCGGAAGCTCACCAGATAGTGTTTCTCAAAGGCCTCCACGGACGATAGCGCCTCCTTCAGCTTCTTATAGGGACTCTGAGGACTGTTGACTGAGAGAGAGAGAGAGAGAGATGACACACACATTACAGACACACCAAACACAATCTACACACAGCTGCTCATGCAGATCCTTCTCATTACTGATGGGTTTTATTTATACACACACTACCAGTCAAAACTGAAATCTTTTAGGAAAGGAGGAGTAAAAATAAAAAACTAAAATAACGTGGTTGCATCACCACTTGATGATGACTGTCTTAACTGTGTTCCATGGTATATCTAACGCCTTGGAAATTCTTTTGCACCCTTCTCCTGACTGATACCTTTTAACAATGAGATCCCTCTGATGCTTTGGAAGCTCTCTGCGGACCATGGCTTTTGCTGTAAGATGCGACTAAGAAAATGTCAGGAAAAGCTTACTAGAACAGCTAAACTTTATTTGGGTTTAATCAGAGGCACTTTAAATGATGGCTGGTGTGTACTGACTCCTATTTAACATGAGTTTGAATGTGACTGCTTAATTCTGAACACAGCCACATCCTTAGATCTGAGAGGGTGTGCATACTTATGCAACCACATTAATATTATTATGATTTTTTTACTCTGAATAGAAAGTTCAGAAGAACAGCATTTATTTGAAATAGAAATCTTTTGTAACATTATAAAAGTAATTTTTGATCTATATAATGCGTCCTTGATAAATATAAGCATAAATTTACCCTTTTTAAAGTATTCCCCAAACATTTGTATGTTGCGCATCACAGATTCCACAAAAATATGAATATGAAAGATCATGTGACACTGAAGACTGGATCTGAAATTATTTATCTTGGTCTAATTTTTTTACATCACAGAAACCTGGCAATTTAACAGGGGTGTGTAGACTTTTTATATCCACTGTATATATATATATTTTTTATTGAATATATTTTATAATTTATTTATATATATTTGTTTTAATTATTAAATATAAATAAATTATAAGTTTATTATTGTTTATTATAAGTATTACAAAATAAAACTACAGTAAAATAACTATAAATATTGTTATATTTATTTTAGTTCTATAAATCTCAGCCCTTTTTCTTTTCTACTCGTGTGTGCCGTGTCTCTCAGTGATGAGTGAAGGATACTCGTCCATCTTCTGCAGCTGTTTCTGACACTCTGCGATCTGTTTGCGTGTGTGTGTGAGCGGCAGACTCCAGCTCTCCGACACGTACGACTTCAGAGAATCCAGCAGGAAGTTCTCAGCACTCCGAGGGTCACCCTTCCTCCTGCAATATGAATATGAAAGATCATGTGACACTGAAGACTGGAGTAATGATGCTGAAAATTCAGCTTTGAACACAGAAATAAATTACAGTTTAACAAATATTCACATAGAAAACAGCATTATTTTACATTATAATTCTATTTCACATTTTTTACAGTATTTTTTATCAAATAAATGCAGCCTTGCATTCTTCCTTAGAAAACATTTTAATTATTCCAAACTTTTGACCGGTGTGTATATGTGTTTATGCATGTATGTATATATACTGTATATAATGGGAAGTGATGTGTTATTTGGTCTTAATTACTCGTTTCGGGTCTCTCTGCTCCCAGACCAGCCAGCAGGTCGACGGTTTTGTTCAGGTCCTCAGAGTCCGGGCCGTTCTCAGACACCAGACCACACAGATCACCCAGAGACCTCAGCTGCCAACGAAACCACACATGAATGAAGGAATGAGCCCAAACGGGCCACTGTTAGCCGTGTGTCTGATCCGCACCTTCTCCGTGGCGTAGGTCCACAGGCCCACGGTGTGGGAGCAGTTAGCCTCTAGTTGGCTGCGGTCGCAGCAGCCCTCGATCCGGTGCAGGACCTCCAGAGAGCTGAGAAACACCCAGCAGTCCAGAGCGCCGCTCTCCACAGACACCTGCAGCACACACACACACGCATCAGACACGTATCAGACACGCATCGGACGCGCATCAGACGCGCATCAGACACACATCAGACACACATCAGACACACATCAGACACACATCAGTCACACATCAGTCACGCCTCAGTCACGTATCAGACGCACCTCAGAAACACATCACACACGCATCAGACACGCTTCAGAAACACATCACACACGCATCACACACGTGCCTCAGACGCGCATCAGTCACGCATCACACACGTGCCTCAGAAACGCCTCAGACGCGCACAGGCATGCATCAGTCATGCCTCAGAAACACATCAGACGTGCATCAGACGCGCATCAGACGCGCATCAGACGCGCATCAGACGCACATCAGACGCGCATCAGACGCGCATCAGACACGCATCAGACGCACATCAGAAACGCATCAGACGCGCATCAGACGCGCATCAGAAACACATCAGACGCGCATCAGAAACACATCAGACGTGCATCAGAGAAACACATCACACACGCATCAGACACGCTTCAGAAACACATCACACACGCATCACACACGTGACTCAGACGCGCATCAGTCACGCATCACACACGTGCCTCAGAAACGCCTCAGACGCGCACAGGCATGCATCAGTCATGCCTCAGAAACACATCAAACGCACATCAGACACGCATCAGACGCACATCAGACGCGCATCAGACGCACATCAGACGCACATCAGACGCGCATCAGACGCGCATCAGACACGCATCAGACACGCATCAGACACGCATCAGACACGCATCAGACACGCATCAGACACGCATCAGACACGCATCAGACGCGCATCAGACGCGCATCAGACACGCATCAGACACGCATCAGACACGCATCAGACACGCATCAGACGCACATCAGACGCGTGCCTCAGAAACGCCTCAGACGCGCACGGGCACGCATCAGGCACGCCTCAGAAACACATCAGACACGCCTCAGACGCGCATCAGATACGCCTCACCAAAATGACTAAAACTTTAACTAAATTAACATGAAAGCAGAAAATATAAAACTAAACTGTAATATCACAATGCTTCTAAATAACACTGGTCATGGAAATATTCTCATATTTCAAACATAACATCAATTTAAATAAATATATATATTTCCGTTTTTTTAAATAATATTTCCTATTTAATTTTAATATTTTCTTTGCATTACAATAATGAGAATTTGGAGGGAAATGTGCTTAATTGCCTTGAAAATCTTGCCAAATGCAATTCGATTGATTGGCAAAATAGCTTCTTGAGCAGTAGCGTGCAACGTCCAGGGGTGCATTGATTTCAATGGAACTAACTACCATGCTTTTGGGAAACGCACCCCAGCTCGACTAAACAGTTACACACACACCTCCAGCAGCTGCAGCTCTTGCACGCAGTTGTGCAGCAGCTCGAGCGCGCGGGCCGTCACCTCCCAGGGTCTCTGCAGGAAGATGAGCAGCGTACACTGGCGGGAGAACAGGTAGCTGCGCAGGTCCAGCAGACTGGCCTCTCCTCTCTGGATCAGGTCACGCTTCTCCATGTCGATGGGCCGCCGCAGCAGCAGCCCGTTCCAGCTGCGCACCGGCTGACAGAACGAGCCCAGCCAGTTAGCTCCGTCTGAACACCAGAAACACAGAGTCAGACGCCAAACCAACAGAACCCCACGCACTGTCTGAAGCTGCGGTATGATCACGATTCATGTCAAATCTGTATTTCTATCAAGTTTAAAGGCAGTTTGCAGTGCAGGCTGTAATATTAATAAATGCACATTTGACAGCAGCTTGAGTTTGGATGCAGATCTAAATTCATGTTCATTATCATAAACAGCAAAATCTGTAAAAAATATGTCAATCTCATTTTTATGTGGTGAAATGTAATTATTCTGACTGTTGAGTTTTATTAAAATTTAACCCTTGCTCTTCCACAGTAGCCTACATTTAGATCATAATAAAACACATACAGCACCTATATACATATATATATATATATAAAAAAAAATGCATTTATTATATTTTTATTTTTAGTATTTTATTACATGAACAATTTTATTTACATTAAAAATATATATTTTTAATAAATATAAATATTTTATAAAAATACAATAAAATATACAAAACATAAAAATATATTGCTCATTTTATAACCCACAATATCACAGCTTAACATACTCCAATTAAATCGTGATGGACAACATCCATAAAATCCAAAAGACGCCATAAAATATATTATATATTTATTTTATTTTAAGAATCTTTCTGCTGATGTAATCGAGGCTGTGTGGAAAAATAATACTGAGCAGCAATATCACATTTTAACATAATCCATACATTTCAAAAGTCCTGTAAACATTTTTATTTGAGTTACATGCATAAAAAAACATTTTTTTAAATTGTTTTTAATACTTTGCTTTATATTTATTTAAAAAAGCATTTATTATGTTTTATCATTCTACTTATATTTAAGCATTCAATAAATATATTTTATAAAATAAAATATAAAAATATAAAATATACTGAAATAAAAAAATACAAGTGTATTTTATTTTAAGAATCTTTCTGCTGATGTAATACTGTGCAACAGCATCATAGCTTAACATATTCCAAATAATCCTGAAGCACAGCAATCATAACATCCGCACTGAATGTTCTCAGATCACAGTGGGTTTCTCATCACAAATCTAGAGTGTCTGTTTTAAATCTTAACTGAAGACGGTTTACCTCCAGCGCCGAAGTTGAGCACATACTGTGTGAAAAGAGCGTCGAGTTCATCATACTGGACCAGAGCGTCTTCAAACTGCTGCAGCATCTCGAACACAAACGCCAGCTCCTCCTGATCAACACACAGATGCACAGCTGAAGAACAACCCACCGCTCTGATTGACAGCTCCCTCAGCCAATCACACACCTGCACCATGAAGTAGTCGCAGAAGCTCCAGCCGGGCTCGGTGCGTTTCTCTCGCAGCGTCCTCATGTCGTCCTCGAAGCGGCCCAGATTCCTGGTGAAGGACATGAGCAGCAGCGTGCGCAGCTTCGTGAGGAACGAGCTCCAGGACTCCTGCGAGCGCGACGACTCCTTCAGTGGGTCGCACAGAGACACGCACCTGCAGACAATCACATCACATGCATGCACATACTTCATTAAAGACTGCACGCTTTCTTTGACTTCATCCTGAATAAACAAGATAAAATCTCAAAGATCTGAAAGAGCGATGTGTTGAGTTTGTTCATTCAGCTCAGCGTCTCAATGTGATTTTTTTACCGTTTTTAAACATTTCAGATACATTTATTACAAATATTTTATTATCTAATGATATTTTAAATATTTGTGTATTTAATTTTTTCATATTTATTTTAAAAAGTATTTGTTTCATTATTATTTCTTTTTAAAACACAAAACATAAAGCATAAAAAATGTAATTCAACAATCTTTCACAAAACTTTCTCAGCCCTTTTTCTTTCCTGTTGATGCAATCAAAGCTTTGTGGGAAAATAATAATGACCAATAAAATATTAGCTGAACATTTCACAATCCAAATAAATATTTATGACATCACTCAATGTGATTTTTTTATTAGATTTTTAAGATTTTAGTTATTTTTATTAATATTTTTTATTTATTAAATTATATATTTTTAAATATTTATTTTATTTTTTTTAAGTATTTATTATACTTTTAATGTTTTTATATTTTTATAACTTTATATTTACTTCTTAAATTAGTATTAAAAAAATGAATAAAATGACATTTAAAAATTATATTTATTTTATTTCAATAACATTTCATGAAATTTTCTGTTATTTTTCATTTCTGCTGAAGTGATAAAGGCTGTTATAGTTATTACAAATATTTTTATTTATTTAATTATTTCAAAATTGCTTGCTTTATTTTTTTATA